GATGGCATGATTGTAAGAGACTCGACACACAGCACACTGGTAGGGTTTGTTTGAAATGTATGGCCGAGACAGGACTTGAACCGCGGGAGTCTGGGGGCTGCTCTCCGGACCTTGCTTTGCAGAGCCTGTTGTCATTCTCTGAATGTGGGATGCAGAGTTGTAATGAACACTCAAGGCAGTTCTGCTGGGAAAACTTTCCAGACAGGCATTGCATTTGAATGAGCGGGTGTTATTTTCAGCTGGCACACCATTTTTACCAACTGACTTTTCACTGGCGTCTGGGATTTCTGTGTTTTCAGTTGCATTTTGTTGTTTGGCTCCGGTGAGTGGATTTCCCTCCTCTTCTGGCTCCGGCTCAGCTTCACCTCCCTCCTGTTCGATTATTCTCTCTTCCTCCATCTCTTTGTCTCCGAGCGTCTGGGTAGCGTCTGCACTCTCGCTAGATTGGCAGGGGTCTGAACTGACGTCTTCGGCGTGCTTCAGCGGCAAAGATTCAGCATCTGATAAAATAAATACACATTTAACTTTGATGCTCTGTTAAATGGAGCCGATAACAAGAGGTTTGCACGCTGAATGCAGTTTGTGAGGGCGGCCAGACACTATTTTACCCACCTGCACCCGTGCAGCCCACATCAAGGGCAATTTTCTATTGTAAGTGCATTGCTTTGATTCCACCTTAAACCTTACTACATACAGTTTTAACAGCATTTTAGTGCCACAAATAGAAGCTAATTATAATAATAAAAAGTCTGTGATTGTACATCTAATCAGTGTGGTGACAGTAAAAAAAAAAAAAAAAAAAAGAAAAGCAAGTGTTATTACAGTGTCATCTCTGTGATTTTTAAAAGGAATCATCAATCTCACCTGAGGACTTTTGAGCACCTTTGTCCTCTTCTTTTCCACTGGCAGCCTGCTTTAGAACAGCCTGTTAAAGAGAAAAAGGAGAGAGTCAGCGCAATCACCGCCACAGCAGAACTTCCCTCTGCTCCCTCTCAGATGAGCCGAATGCCACACTGGAGCTTTTGAGCGGCACAACATTCGGGCGTGACTCAATGATGTGTGGTTATATTACACATAGCAAGCCTGGCGAGCCTTTAATTTGCAAACTACCCTAAAGGCATAAATTCAACCATCTTTGATCAATTCATGCACCAATAATACTCCCTGCGTTTCTTAAGACTAAACACTGCTAAGCTATCATGGCTCGCGACAAACGGCTCATTCATTGAGGTGCTGTCCTTTTTTTCTTTTCTTTTTTTTAAACTTTGCTGCCTACTCAACAAATACTTTCAAAGTGAGATACTTGGTGACTAGATCAAATCAATGACATATTAAAACTATTAAAACAACAGAGTGCACAAAGGGAATTTGCACAAACAAGCAATAAAAGCAGCAAACGGTGGATTCAAGAGTGACAACTCTAAATTCTGGGTATTGATAGATTGTGTAGAAATCAGTGTATTTCTTCCCTTATTATGGGTAAACAGTTATCAAACAAGTAAGTAAGAGGATTTTTGGAATCTCAATTTAAGAATTTCATAGTTGTTTTTTTGTTTAAGACATGTAGAAAGGCTGAATAAAACACTTAGCCACATTATTTAATAGTGAAATCCTGGGTAAATGTAGAAGACGGGGATAAACGATGATGAAGATTTGGGTTTAATAAAACTGCAGTCTTACTTGTGTTTGTTTTTTTATTTTTCAAGTACAACCAAACCAGGGGATTAATTTTTTTTGAAAAAAGGAAAAAGAAAAAGAAGAAGCAGCACCCACCCATCTATCAAAAAACTTTTCATATACCATAATATTTACATCAAAGGGTGGACTAACTACCCAGAATCAAATTAAAAGGTCTTGTGGATTCGATTAAATTGATTTAATTAAAATATTTTTTGTCTAACCTCTGCATATGAGGCGGCAACAAGTGGGCTCTTTACACATTATGCACATAATTAATTTATGACCCAGTGTGATCGGGTCGTACCACTAAAGCTGAACAACAAAATGTTGGGGAGGAGGGAAACATGCAAATCCAGCCATAAGTTATGACAGTCGGTATCTCGGCCACACTCACAATGTCCAGCAGTCTGTCGACACACGATGGAAGTACGCTGTGTTGCTCTGTGAGATGCAGCGACAGGGAAGATCTGTCCGGTTGGCCTTTTTGGCACAGGGGGCACAACCACTCTGCCACCCCATTCCTTTCACTGCAAACCTTCTCTCCAGACTCCTCCTGAGGAACAGAAGCAAACGTTAAGAGAGAAATCTGCTGTATGAAGTTTAGCACAGAGCAAAGAAAGAAATGCAAAGAAGTCATGTCATGCGACCGGTTATCAAGCAGGGAGCCGCACCAATCGAGATAAAAGTGTACTGTTACTGGTTTGTTGTGCACCTCGGCTGGGTGACCTGCATTGCTGTGCGGGGCAATTTGAACCCACCAATGAGGAGCCGGGAATACTCCTCAATTGGCTCCAACAAACAAAGTAATCCTGGGTCAATATCATAATCTCATGGAGCTCCATTTCAGATTTGTTCTCTATGGAGGTTCCCACTATTTTGTCTGCAAACATTATCACATTACACAATTATGTAATTGCTCAAATGGCACCTTTGTGATGTGAAAGAGTGGAGTGGCTACAAGATCAGTTGTGTCACACCTGATCTGACATCACAAGTACACACAAATTGCATTAAACGAAGTCTACACTCCATGCAAACCACATCATGCACTGGCTGACAATCCACAATGAGCACATTGTCACTCCGGCCGCTCGTCTTCCACCAGTTTTGACAGATTCGAGGAACACGTGGCCAATATATTACATATATTCCGAGATCATGCTGCATTAGCTCAACATGCATGATGACAAAACTGCGAGCCCCGTGCAGCTCGGGGGGAAACCAAGCAGCCCACCAGCCCGATGTTTTCAACCACACAGCCTCGCCGTGTTCCTCCGCAAGCATTCGTGATCCAAGACGCAGCCAAGAAAGCAAATCATGCCCATGAGGAGGAATACCAACACAGCGACCGTCCTCACTTCCTCGTCATGCCAATTAGCAAGCTAGCAGGGTAATATGACCAGATAATATCCCGACGAGTCTCTATCTGCCGAGTGTGTCCCGTTGAAAAGCTCCCCGTCACGAGTTTCATAATTAAAAGCCGAGATACGAGCAGATTGACGTCTTCTTGTCCGTAGCTGGCTAATTAACGAGCAGTCTAATTAGCTATGCCGACCAGAGACGAATCAATTAGCTAGCAGGCTAGGTTGTGAAGCCCCCCTGTAACGTCGCATTACAGTGGTGTTTGTGGAAATGCTGGTTAGTTTGCTGAAAATAACCCCGCAGTGATATCCATACTTGTCCCAAACTGCAAAAGACGGGGCAGGCGTCAGCACAATCCGGTCCGCGGCGCTCGGTAGGGCTGGGCGCTCATTAAATTAATAAACAAAAGGGCTCGAGCTATTAACAGTCGTGTCACTTTGCTAGCTAGCCTGTTAGCTGGCAGGGATAATTAACCGCTCCTCAAACTGTCTCCAACTGGCCGCCCTCCACTCCCGACAAACTCCGGCCGGGCCAGGTGGGAGCAGCGGCTCCGGCACACCGCTCCGCTCCAGCCCGGATCAGAAAAATACACTCAGTAGGCTTCACATCCGAAACCTCGGCCTCGAGTGAGCTCCTTACCCCTCTGATTGTGGGCTGCCAATCGGGCATGTAGTGTTGCACCGCCCGCCGCCTGCTGCTCAACAGCGCAAATTGAGGCCTAGCCGGACTAAAGCCATTTAATTAATGAACGTGGGCTCCGTTTACAGATGTGTTAGGAACACTCGCACCCCCTCCTCCCTCGCCGCCCAGCAGACCCCCTTTTGACGCGTCCTAGCGCTCGAATCCATACGTTAAACACTCGCCGTGCAACACATGGCCATTTAAACTATCGTTTTCACAGCTTTGCGCCGTAATTGGCGAAAGAATTAAACGCTAAAAAGCGACTTGAAAGCGGAGTACGTGCGCCGCGGTCGCCTCGACGATGGGGGTGGGTGTAGGGAGAGGAGGCGAAAGAGAGGCGAGAGGCAGAAAAAAGTTTGGGATTTAATGTTGGATTTCTATAAGGGATCGGATTAGTATGGGGCACGATCCGTCGTTCGCTCGATCCCCTGCCAGTCGCAGGCCACTCTCCCCGCTCCGAGTCGGCACAATTAACCGAACGGCGTTTAATTAAGTTCGGAGCAATTAGCTAATGCGTTTTTACCTGCATGGTCGCCGCTCCAGCACGCACACACACACACGCTTCCTCTGTGGCTCCTCAGAAGTGAAAAGTTTTCTTGCCAGCCCTCCCTCTCTCTCTCTCTCTCTCTCTCCCTCTCTCTCCCTCTCCCTCTCTCTCTCTCCGGTTCTCCCCCTCCCTTCATTCGCCCTATCCCTCTCTCCTTCCCCTCTTCCCTCTAGTAAACAGACCACAGCTCCCCCCAAGGCTGATTGCTGACATTCAGAAGGGACAGACACGGCTATCAAATCCCTTATGTAACCCCGCAGACATTACACATTATTAATGTATGCACAAGCACCGATTGGGCAATAATTAACAAACAAAAAAAGCCTAATTTTTTTATTTTTTTATTTTTTTAAAGTCTGCCGGATGCTTAGATTACACGGAATCCCCACCCTTTTAATGCTCATTTTCACATTAAAGGTGAATAATAAATGAGTCCCCATTCTGCCAAGTTGGATTGTCACAAAAGAGAGTGACGACTTAATTAAAGCTGAATAATAGAGATGGGCTCCGGCCTTCCGCACGAATCATGACATGTTTTCAATCAAATGATAGGTGTGGCGCACATCAACAGTCGACTGTGTGGGATAAATATTTATGAAGCGGAGCGGATTAAAACTGCACCATCTGTACGGAGCGCTGCGTTTACTGGGACGGCCGCTGATGTTCCCGAACGCCCTCGTAGGTGTCCCCCGATCGCGCCTGTGCGAAATAAACTTTGCTGACGTGTTGGGGGCTGCACGGATCGATCCCTCGCTCGGTTTTCAGCGCCGAATTGCTCGGATTTGAGGATCGGACGCGTCGAGGTGCGTGGAGGTGCGGGTCGCCGCCTTCGTGGGCATTTTTTAACACTCCGTGGTTCACTTTGGTGATTTTGGAGTGGAGTTCGTGCGTGAGTCCGAGCAGCTGATTCGAGTTTGATTGTGAGGCAGGTGCGAAGGGCTACAGGAGCTGCTTGGAGGGATATAGTTAGTGCAACTATAATAGTTTAATTTTTAACATTTGCATGTAATAAGAGGCGTGAAAACCAAGTGATTGAACGAAGCTAAAGCTGTGAGTGCCTGCAGACAGGAGAGGCTTAAGCCCAGTCCAGGAGTGTTGAGATTTTAACCTCATAATTGCACCATTTTCAGGTTATTTCAGCGCATAAATGAATAAAGAGACACTGTGTTCTGGGTAAAATAAGGTCATCCCTCCTTCTTTCTGTGCCACATTAATATCACAGTGCAGCCAGGCTACACCTCAAACCGTGCACCTAATTTAGTCTTATTTATATGAGTCACATTGCTATAAATATTTGCACAGTGGAGATTTTTAAAAAAGACTTCACAGATCCTTTAAATAGTGCAGAAGTAGAGGTGCTGGTGCTAGTGGGGGGGGTGAGGAGGAGGAGGTCACCCATTAAGTCCTATAACACAATACCCTAAATAAATAACTAATAATAATGAGAGCCCATCTGCTGTCTGTGTTGCTGACAACAACAACAAAAATCTGATCTAACTACAGCAGCTTACAGTGGAACAATAAAACGTGTTTCAATTGTTACTCAGCTACCTGCTGTCATATTAATTTAATGATTAGAGAGGTCACACTGCACACGCCGTTATGGGGAAGCATCCATAATGATCTCACAGCTGCACATGTCAGACTGTGAAACGGAAAAATCTACCTTATAACACACTTTATGTTTATATATTTCAGTGTTTTTTTTAAATGTATTCTCTCATACTGTATTTGAGGCGCTTTAATGGTAATGACAGATGAATAAATCAAGGGCTGCTTTTTTTTTTTTTTTACACAATGTAAAAATACTAATTTACAATAAAAACTCGATTTAAGTGAAAGTGCAGACACCTGAAGAAGTTTATATCATTATTATATTGTAATAACACTGTTTAATCGAACTGGGTTTGCTGGTGCATCAGTTTTGTAGGAAGTGAAACTAGAAATTTATGCTTTTTAATAGTTTTTCAAGTCGTGTTTTGGTAGTCGATCTTAATGTCTGCTGTTGGTACATTAAAGAGCTCAGACGTCTAATGACACAATGCAAAGTCCTGCATAAACTGTATGTAAGTCAGTGTTTCGTTAGTGGAACTTCATTTCCAGTGTTATTAAAAATTTATAACAAATAGTCGATAAAGAAGACTTTATCTACCACTAAAACTAAAACTAAAGTGATCCACATCAGGCCAGATGTCACCTTGAGGACATCAGAACTGGTGAAGAGAGTAAACTGTGGCTGTCACACAGGCAGGACGACGTGAATCTGAGTTTAAAGCCAGACCTGCTGCATACCGTATGTCTGTAACTGGAGCCTTAGTGATTTGCTAATGGCATGGTTTCAAGCTGCAATGCCAATCTGAAATCGATTAATTGTTAAGCCCCAGCATACCTCAGTGTAAACACAACGGTTATTTATTGATATTGCAATTGAGTCAGTCATTCCCTCCTGAAATGACCATTTTATTATACACAATTGACACTGTTCTATTTATTATCAGCCTTACGGTGGTTTACAATGAACGGGTTCACAATCCGGCCATGTTGTCGAAGCTGATCTTCCCATTTCAATATTTCAGATGAGTGTGGAAGTGGAGAGGAAGTTTTTGTGCAACGCCGACACCCTGAAAACACTGGAGGAGATCGGGGGTACGTGTTTATCCACCACACGTTCACACATGGGTGCATTTAGCTGACGCTGTGATCGGCGACAGCTTAGAAATGGTCACTGAAAGGCCTCTCCAACATTTAATGACACTAATTGCTGTGGTTGTTGTGTAACTATAGTGACTCTGGCCATCTGTCTCATGTTAATAATTAAGTTTAATTATCTGCATCAGCCTTGTTAGTGTTTTAATCATCCATTTTAAAAAATGATCCGTCTTCGTCCCGCTTCTTTTCTTCGGCAGTTTGTGTTGGCCAGCGGGACTTTCGTGACCAGTACTTTGACACCCCAGAGTTTGACCTGACTTTGAGAGACATGTGGCTGCGTAAACGTAAAGGATGCTGGGAGCTCAAGTGCCCGACAGCGGCGTCCAGCGGGACCGCAGAGCTGAGCGGGGAACAATCTCAAGCGGCAGCGCTGTGCACTCGTTACAAGGAGATAACCAATCTGCCTGAAATTCACCTGATAGTGAAGGAGGTCGTAAAAGACTCCTGTGAGGTCAGAGAGACAGAGGAGAGCGGCTCAGAGGGGGAAGAGTCTTGGCTGAGCAGCATGAATCTGGTTTGCTTTGCAGAGTTCACAACAGTGCGGCGGTCATTCACTTTAGAGGAGGAGGGGGTGCAGATAGATCTGGACCAAGCTGACTTTGGCTATCATGTGGGAGAGATAGAGGTCCTCATACCAGAGGGAGGAGATGTGCAATCTGCACTGGAGAAGATCAGAAAAACAGCTCAGCAGCTGGGTGAGCTTTCACACCGCTGAACCGTTTAGCGCATTTACTACCACGTGTTACGTTCACCAATATCATTATGCTCATCTGTGACACGGTTTTCTCTTCATTAGTCAAGATTTCCCTCTATTTCTTCTTCTTCACAGGCCTGACTGGAGATCAGCGAGTTGAAGGCAAAATGAACGTTTACCTTAAAAGAAACCATCCAGAGCACTACGCCAAACTGCTGAGCGCACATGTTTTGTAAAAGATATTAATCTGTGAAAAAGGTTTTAACTGTACAGTCGTAGCTGTAAAATGGAGGAATTATTTATTAGAAAAGTTGAACAAACTTTATTGAAATTCAATCGTGTCTACAATCGTGAAGATTCTTAAAACAAACCTGATTATCTTGAAGTTTTTGTGCACCTCGAACAAGTTTTTGTTGTTGTTGTTGTTCTAGCTATAATATGAGCAGTATATGAACACAGTAAATATCTGGGGTATCACACTGTCAGTCTACCACTGATGATGATTGTTTTCTCACTGTGAATAAAGACATGGAGTCACACAAAGACACTCCCACATGAGGAGCTGGTCACTCTGTGGTTCACAATGTGTGTCAAAGGTTGCCCTGAAGTCTCAGCGCTGGGACGCCACTCCTGCTGATTTCATAGTGAAGAAACCTCCCCGCTCTCATTACACATCTACTGTCTCTGCATCTAAGTCGTTTATAATCATTCATTTTAAATGTTTGGCACTGTGTTTGACCTGTAACCTGTTCTTATATTTTTATTCTTTGTATTTGCAGGAGTCTACTTTTACATACCAGCCTGCTTCACACATCTTATCTTATCTGTCAGTGACTTAGTTTTTAGCTTTAGTTTCTGACTTCCAGGATATTAATGATTAATTAATTAATTTATTCCTAACCAGTGTATTCATTTTACTTTGTTAAAACCTATGTCTATAAATTGACACAACAAACAGGGTTTTGAAGGACGAACTACACGCCATCCCACAAACAACAACGCAATATCTTTTGTCACTTTTGTTTGCCGTAGTAGTTTTATCAAGTCTTCTATTAAAATAACGGAGCTGACGACTATTTCCAAATAAGGCTGTGACACCACACAATTATTAAAAAGACTCACAACAGCGATGTTATTGTGATATCGATAGAAAATCTGAATAAAGCAATCAGTCAAATTGATCTTGAGCTTTAAAATGTGTTTCCTTGTCTTCTTTTTTTCAAATTAATTGCAATTAAAATGTGAGTATTGTTAAGGTGTCTAACCTAAACAGTGCTCTATGTTGTTCCTGAGTTGGAGCACCAACCAGGTAGTTACTGCTGCTAGATCACTTACACTATTAGCATACATTTATTATTAACATGATATCAATATTTCATTTTTTACCCTATTTCAAAGCAACATATTAATTTGGTTACACTCTAAATAGTAGCATAAGAGTATTTGTCATCTTATTATGGGACCTTTTGTTATACTAAATTTTTTAATGTTTTCCCACCTGCTGTCTGTGAAGATCCTCAGTCCTCCAGGTCATGCTTGTTCTCGTAGATTAATCCTAGCAACTGGACCTGCTTGAGTTCCTTGAAGACGTTCCACCTCTCATCCAGGAGGCTTCATCAGCTCTGACTGACTAGTTGGGAGTTCCACATACTGATATCCTGAAGGAGACATTAACACCTGAGTTTCGGTTTCAACTGGGGGTTTGTTGCTCCTCTCCCTTATTATGCGAGTCGTTAATGCACAAAG